CTTTCCTTAACCTCCACTGATTTTTCTCTTGCCATTTCAATTCTGTTACTACAGCAACCTTGTATTTCTTCCTTTGGCAAAGTTGACATCTTTGCATAGGGACACGCACAAGGCCTTTCTAATCAGCACTTATGTGGTCTAAAACATTTAGCTCATCTGCTTAGAAGACTTATTAAAATGTTCGACCCATCTGCTGTGGGAGGCTCTAGTGAAACTAGAGCCAGCATTTTTCCCACTCGGTTTCCTGTCATGCAGCCTGACCAAAGCTTCTCATTTCAGCAACACACAGCAATGGTGTCTCTACCATAAGGCAGAACACTTGCTTGTATGTGGTCTTTGGACACACTTAAAAGGATGTCATCTCAGTCTTCTGCAGTGACTGTTGGATAAAACACTGTGCTGACATTTGCCTTTCATAGTGCTAAATGCTAGAAAAATCACTTGACTGCAGCACAAGAAATTCAGAGCGACATCTTTCAGAATGCTTCCTTCACCCTCAGACACTTGGAAGGAGACATTTATAGCAGAAGGATTCCAGAAAGCTGGCTCAATGGATGGGGCCAGCCCTAGGGATATCCTTCAAAAGAACCGTGTAAACTGGCTAATCCCCTTTTCCTACTTTTTAGCATCTAAGTGTATGAAGAGCTGTGCAACTTGCTCTGTTCAGTTCTGATCTACTCTGTTGCTCTTGTCACCCCCAGGGGAAAAATTACAATTTCCTTTAATTCCCTCTCCATCATCTGATACCATTAAGTCTGCCTATAGGTGATCTGTGTTATGCTGCCTAAGCCTACATCTTTCCTGAACGAGCTGGCGGCAGTGGTGATTTAGCAATACATACAGCTACCATCTTCCCACTAGTTATAGCCGTATCTGTATCTATAATCATTCATTCACAAAAGTATTTCTCTCCAGCTTGCTGGGAGAGTTGGACTAATAGCAAAATGTGAAGTTTTCCATTATCTTCACTCAGCAGTTCTCCAATCCCTCCTGGTCACAACCAGGTAGTTTAATACTTATTTGCTCTAAGACTTGTCTGTAACACAGATGCCCTTGAAGGGAATGGCAGCAAGTTGGAAACAAGATACAGGCTGTGGAGAGAAGCTACAGGGTGAAAATTTGGCCATTGGAAGATGAATGAGTACAATCTACAAAGGTAACTGCAGCACGAGGATTAACAGCAAATAAAAATATCTTGAGCCAACTGTCTGGTCAATCACTGTAGATCGACTAAAGCATCTCTGAGAGAGGGTTTAACCACGTAAAGCTCTGCTTGCTCATCTCAGCTAATGTAGCTGATGGTGTTTGTAGTCAAATCCCCTTCAGAATGACCCTGTTTTGAAAACAAGTTGCATAGAGGAAAACCTGCTAAACAGTCAGTTCATCTTTCATTACTGGTGGAATTTACCTCTTTAATTAGCTCTAGGGATTACTAAGGTGTTAAGGAAAGTGGTGTGACATTGAACTGTATTTCCTCTGTGAAAGGATATCAGTGTATATTTGTCCTCTGTGGAGATCATGACAAGGAGTCCATGATGTTGTAAAGGGCTTTTTTTCTGTGATGCTGTTTTACTTTAGTGTTTTAATGAGGAAAGAAAAAAAAAAACCCAAACCAGTGTCACTGTCTATATAGAGACTTTAAAAGTGCTTAAAAGCACCAGGAATGCCTTTAGAATGCAGACCTCATACTAGAGATAAAGCATCTACAGAGAGAAAAGATACTTTGATGTAGTAGATGTATTTGTTTGTTTCACAGGGGAGGAAAGAATGGCATGTTTTACCAATAGAGCTATTAACCACCAAGACTGCCCAAAGGCATCAGCAGGTTCATTTAAAATGTGAATGAGCTTTTCAGGCATTTGGTTGTTCAGATTCTAGAGTCTGCTATTATGTGAAATTGGATGGGGTCTTCACATGGCACAGCTGAACTGTTAGGCTGGCCTCCCTCTTCCACCCAATTACAACCAATGTGAATGGACACTCCTGTGGGCCTGAGAGCTTCTCTCCAAATTAGGAGAGTTGTCTTATTACAGAGGACAGGGGCAATTAACTGAGACCCTGAGCTGCTACTGAATGGTTTCCTTGGGAAATACCACTTAGCATTGCAAGCAGCAACTGGGCATTTATTCATGGCCTTCCTACACCCTTTTGGGAAGGACTATTCACTTGAATTAATGTTTGGAGTCTACCAGCTAAAAACAACCGTAATCAACAGAATGCAATTGAACTGAGGAAGGCTTTCTCTTTTTAAACACTTATTGCGTGCCTTGAGCTTACATGGAATTGCACTCACCAGAAAGATCCCTTCCCAAACAGCACTCAGGTCGATCAGCTGGAATAATAGCTGAAGGAATACTATTGCCTTGGAGTGATGCTGCATCAGGGACATGTTCAAGATTTGTATTGTCACTTTTTATAGTTCTGCAATGTTTTTAATCCAAAAAGAAGGTTTGGGAGGCATGTCCCCACTTAACGTGCAAATTGTGCTGTAGTGGATCATCCTGATCTCCCAGAGAAGTCTAGGAATGCCATTGTGCAAAGGATGGCAGGTCTTTGCCATTCAGATTTATTTTCATGTGGAACAAAATGCAATGACATCACTGCTGATTAGGAGCATGGTGATGGCAGAACTACCGACACATGAGCAAGAGTTCACCTGCAGCAGCAGAAGGCTCAGAGTGGCAAAGCTTGTTTGTGGCACAGAGACAAAAGCAACCAGAGAGATGGCTGTTAACACTAATGCATAAGAGCAAGTCCTTCTGAACTGAGAGCAATAATGTCCTTTTTGTGATGATGAGCATCATGGAAATGCAACATTGCAAATGTCCCCAGACTAGACAGTGTTTGTCAGAGTTTCTCAGAGCTTAAGTGCACATGGCTGCATGTACATGCACACCTGGGATCCACAACCTAAGTTCACAGATGTGTTTAGAAGAGAAACATTAACTGCATACTGAATATCTTCATTTTAATAGTGTTAACATTAAACTTTTCTACTTCCTCTTCTTTGGGAGTGTGCAAATTGCTACGTTTTCCAAAATGTGTTGAAAATGCCCAAGATGAATTGTCCTGCTGAAAAGGAGTTTCTTATCTAGGAATGTTTCCCAGCTTCACTGCATTTTGTTTAAGTAGGGTTAAATAAATCAAAGAAAGCAGAAACACTAAAGATGAACTCAATTTCTGATTCTGTATTAGTCTTTCTATTACTACTGCATACCATGGCTTGCAGTCCAGCCTCTGGATAGGACTTGCATGCTCCTATTAGACAAAATCAAACACCTTGAGAACTTATTTCCAAATATCTAAACTGGAAGCATGATATGTATGTAATTAAGATTTTTAAGAAAGAGCTAACATGAATCTTTTCCATTGGTTTTGAACATGCTGCACCCAAAAGGAATTCAGCAGGCTTTTTTAAAAGCACTGATTTTAAAATTTAACATTTCTAAATTAAAATTTCTAATTAAATTTAAATTTTCTAATTAATTAGAAATTAAAAAATTTCTAATTAATTAGAAAATTAGAAATAATTATTATAGAAATAAATAGAATAATTATAGAAATAAAATTATAAATTTTAAAATTTCTAATTAAATTAAAGAGACCCAAACCATTCTTGGAACACACTGCAAACCTGAAAATTGCATGATAGGTAAGAAAAATTAACTTCACTTACAGTGGAAGATTTTAAGGGAGAGAGACAATGGCATTTCTTTTTGTGATTTACAAGGATCATGAGATAAGCTAGTTGTCTTGCTATTTGCTAGCTCTGCTTCTTACAGTATAGAAAGCTGGCTGCAATGAAGTTATTTTGACAGTCGATAGCATGCTGTTAAAGGTTACTGGAGCTCCACCATCACCCATACAATGATACAATGATTTATTGTTGTCAAAGCCTTCTACACAAAGCATAGAACAACCTAAGCTTCATCATTCCAGACAGGCACATTATGCTCATTTAAAAAAATAAACACATATGATGCTAGGACTGCCTGAAACAGCTGATCTTATAGCATTGGCCTTGGGATTGCAAAACCATCCCTGGCAATGCTTTATGTCTCTGCTTTGCTGAATAGTGGAATAAAAGAGAAGAAAATTTGTAGGAGTGAAGCTTATGGCAAAAGAACAGGGAGGATGTAAGTTACACACTTGAAAAAAAAAGTGTCTGCCACAGCAGGGCAAAATGTGCTGAATTACACTTGAAATCCACGCAGAACTTCTGCTACTCCACATTTCTATTATAAGCAGAGTTCTCCTTGAATTTCTTATCCTGAATTTTGTACCGATCCTAGGTAGGCGTCTAGACGGTATATCTCCATGCTGATGGGCTTGCTGAAAATTGCCTTCCTCTAATTTGCTTTTCTATGATTAAGTTGAGATGGTATGGGGCATCCTGGAGCACACGATGTCCACAAGACATCCCCACTCCTTGAAACCTGCTGATAGGGCAATTACCCTTGCTCCAGCAGATAACTGAAAGGGAAACCTACATTAGTATGAATACACCATCTTCCATCTCTTTCTCTGTAGGATGTTATGTTGGTCCAAGTAAGGAAGATTTTTATTTCAAGAGGCAATGAGGTCACCATTGACTGGGATATCTTTGCTTGACTTTGGACAAATGCATCATTGTTATTGATATCCATAGGGTATGCTGAACCCTTCACATCTAAGGTGCTGTATGGCAATAACGCCTCATTGCATGTTCATTCTTGCCTTTTGCACAACCTTCCTGATTTATGTGAGCTTGCAGGGGATGTAGAGCAGCCTCCTCCATCCTGTCACTGCTGTTTCTGCCTCTCTTCCTTACCTTCACTCCCACAGAAGCTGTAAACTTCTGTTTACTTCCCTGTAAACTTCTCTGGGAAGTGGGGGAACTATCTGCACAGAGTAGAGCAGAGGGAGGCTGATACAGCTGCCTGGTACTCCTATGAAGTAAAAGCTACGCCACAGCTGGCTGCTTTACAGCAAGATATCTATCAGTACATTCTCCTCACGACAAGGCTGACATTTGATTTTATTAACAAAACAGAAACTAGTGCAAAATTAACATTGGGAGAGATTGGATTACTAAAGCAAATATGCTTTAGTGAGAGGAGCACAGATCCGGAAAACTGGGAGCTGGGCTCTGCTTTACTGTATGGACTAGAATGGATTATTCCTCTTCACCTTGGTTTTTCTAGCTTATATTGCCAAGAATGTTAACAGCCCTTCAGAAAAGGATGTGGTGATATTTACGTGTTAGATTTAGGAGAAGGCACTGAGATCTTGAGATAAAGCAAGGCAGAGAGAGCACTAATGACATACAGAATCGAATTCCGTTTGCATTTCTCTGCAGCAAGCAGATACTTATAAAGCTGAAATTATCACCCTGTATTTTATACTTGCACCAACTTCTCGGAGAGCACGTACAGGCGTAAGTTGTAGCTGAACTGCTAGCTGGCTTTGTCATTTGGCTTGGGAACGTGAGCCCTTGCTGGGAAATCACCAGATGGCGCTCATAGAAATGATGTTCAAACGCTCCTTTTTTAAGGCAGTTACAGCTGGAAAAAGGTTTCTTCGTGAAATTGTGACTCAGTTCTTTCAGTAAGGAGCATTTGCATCAGCCAGAATTTGTTGAGTGGCTGAACAGGATAATTCCTCTAATTCAGGACTAGTATTCAGAGCCTACTTGCACATCAGCCAGAGGAAAAACATAGCGTTGTGTAATAAATCACTTGCATTAGGCAGTCAGCTTTGACTGTTCCTGTTAGCTTCATTTCAGTTTTAATCAATATTTGCTGGGATTTGTTAGGCTGTGTGGACAAATCCTGAGGCCTGTACTTGATTTCTATCGAAGCACGATGGTTATTAAAGAGAATGAGAAGTCTGCCTGAGTGGCATCCGTGTAAAAGCTGAAGAATTTAAGATCTGAATTTATCACACTTCTTCACTGCTCTACAAACAGATTGACTTCCCCTTGCAACCCTTCTTGCAGAGAAGTTTGCTCATTTTGGAAGCTGGAGAAGTTCATTTTCAAGTAGGTTAAGCCAAAAGGTGCCAAAAATGCATTTTTCTCCTAGTCTATTATTGTATCTTACACTGTAAGTGAGAAGTAGCTTCACCAAGGAATTGATTTCTTGCAAAAGAAACTGAAGCCATGGCTGGAAGATGATTTTCATAACAGATGCAGCCCTTCAGCAGGGATTCTCAGTTTCTTTCACTGCTGGATAGCAGCATGTCTTGAGTTCAATCTTTCCCTTTAAATATTTCATTAAGGGCAAGTATGTTTTCTACTCCACTCTTAGGGCTCCAACTTTCAATTCCTAACTTATCCAAAATCCATCTTTTTATTTTTAATTGACCTCTTCTACTGTTTTCCATTTCACCTATCAAGTCCCATAGACATACAATAATACTGCAAACCCCAGTAACTGATCTAAAGGTTATTTCAGATCCTGACATTCAAGCCATAGTTACAGCTACATGGGAAAAGCAAAAATTAAAACCAAATCCCTCTTCTGGATAGCAGTTTAGTTACAACAGGGATCCTTGTTTATATTTCTCTAAGATTTGGAGACAGGGTACTTTACAGTCTGTAACACTTAAAGATACTTCATTTCCATTCAACTGCTGCATTCAAATATCTGTATCTATCTCACATACACATATATGCAGAGCTCTGGAGGTCTTTTTGAACTTACCTCTCAGGCTGGATGAACTATATGGTCACTCTTCTCATCTGAGCTGGTCTGATGGCCCACCTGAAAATTCAGGGAAAATATCTCAGTTCAAGACAAGGCAAAGTATTTTGGCTTTTTCTTTTTTTTTTTTTTAACAAAGTGAAAGATTTTCATCTTTTCAAGTCACACCAACTTGAAAGGGAAGCCAAAACAAAACACAAGCCAAAAAGAATACCCCAGCAATCTGCTATGTTGTGCTCCTCTTATTTTGTTTTTCCACAAGCTCTTTTAAAGGTCTAGTTTTCATTCTGTTCTGGAATGGAGACAAATACTGGAATCTCCTTTTCTTCCCCCCAGCCCTCCAAAAGACTTTTTCACTTATCTCTGTTTCTTACACATTTGATACAGTTTCTCTGTGGAAAAGAAATAATTGCCCTTAATACACATACACACTTTACACACTCGGTTAGGATTTTGCTCTAGGCATGAATTAAGTTTCAGGTAGGGACCAGCGGTCATTTGTTACTGCTGACTTGACCTCGCTCCTGTTAATTCACATCTTGAGAACAGAAAGGTGCATTTCATGCTCTAGTCATTAGAATTCCATTTTGCTGGGGAGATAGTACTGGGCCATGCTTTTCCCTGAGAGGGCTTTTTCTTTGGTGCCTGTCATGCTGCATTACACTGAGCAGCACGCCTAACACTAGGCAAATAACAAGCAGAAGGAACTCCAACAAAATTGCCAGCGTCACTGCAAGGACCCCAACCCACTAAATAGTACAAACATGATATGACCAATGAGATTTCTTAGGTTTACCCAGTCGTGCTCATTGTTACTGGTATTTGTTTGGGTACTTTGGCTGCAGCATCCATTACGTATTTGCTGAAAAAAGTACTAATGGTGGAAGAAAATCTAGGCAGTGACCAATGAACTGAGGGGGAACCTCAGTTGTACACAGCCTGGAACAGACTCTTTGCTAGACAGTGAACTGTACAACTCAGTGTGAATGTGCAACTGCAGTGATGGGATTTCTGCACTGATAACATTCATCCATTTTGCCTCATGGATTTTTGTTGAAAAGCTTTAATTGAGAAAAAGAAAACGGATCCCCATAGGAATTCAAATAAAATCCTACATTTCATGCACCAGCCACAGCCCCAGGCCAGGGGTTTATAGGTTGGGAAATTCTTGCCCTCGTATAAGCTAAGTTGGATGGAAATAGCCATGAAAAATTGCTTATTCTAAGCCTCATGCACAGACAAAAGTGCCTTCACATTATACCTCCCCATCCACAGTAACAAAGAAACATGAGCATAGCAGGTATGAACAGCATTTCGACATCCGGGAGTGATCAAACTCTCTTGTAATATCAAGGCAGCTTTGCTCAGTACAACGGAGCTGCAACGTTGCAGCCAGTAACTGCATCCAGCATCCCGCATCTCCTGAAAGGAGAAGCCAAGGCTCTTCCCACAGATTTGCACAGCCAGAGGAAAGCATTACACAAGCCACCTTAATAGGTACCTAGAGGGAGTGCAATGTTTGTTTGGGTTTTTTGTTTGTTGCTCCTGCTTAAAAAAGTAACTTATAAAAGGAAAGCTGCCTTGAAATCTAAATCTGTCAGCATAATCCTGCAACCCCTCAATAAACGTGAAATAGTAAATGGTCACTGCTTGGTTATGGCTTTCTCTGCCCCTCCATTCAGCACAAACATACATGTGAACACGGAAAGACTGGTGGCAGGAGAAAATAAGTTTCTTTTCGCCATTTGGTCTTGATTCAGATTGGAATAAAGCAGGTGAAAAACATCTTTGTCAGCAATGATTAGGCAGGGATGCTGGTACTCGCTGAGCATCTGCAAGGTTGTCTGATCACCAGCATTTCCAGAGTGTCAGGTTCTATTCCAGGACAGTTCTTCCATGAGACGTGACTGAGTACTGGGTGCAGCTGCCTGCATCCAGACCATCTGCAGGAATCTAGGAGGAACTTGGTAAAAGTTCATCAGCTACAACACACCAAAGTGGGCTTTTATTATGTTTCTTGAATGAAACTGGTTTTCTGTAAGATCTATGAGCACATTTGCCTTAGCCCATGCTGTACCTACCATCTACCTGCCTGATCCCTCCACCCCCTAATTTCCTTTCTTTCAGGTTCTCTGCCTTTCTCTCTTAAAAACCACTTGCCTGGGAATTCTCAAGTATCTGAAATCTGACCTGTCATGTGTATCTTGTCTCCCGCCCATCCTCAGTCAATAATCACATTAGCACATCTGTGTGACAGAAATAATGGCTTTTGTCTCCCCAAGATGCAGTCCTGTTGCCAGGCAACTCCATCCTGAGGCAACAAAACAGCGAGGAACTGGTGTGTGGGAGGACCAAGCCCGAGTGCAAGAGCTGCTGCTTGTGCTGCTGGTAGCTATAATTGGGGGAAGCTTGGAATATACTGTTTCCACCAGAAATTCAGGATAATAGAGACCGCCAGGCTCAGAAACTTTCAATTAGGTGGCTACAGACTGTAGCGGGTTCGTCTTGTTTTGTTCTGATGTTGCAGAAAAGAGCTGGGAATGCTGCAGAGAACTGAGCTGCAGGTTGGGGTGGCTTGTATCAGAGATGCTGAGTCCACTGCAGCAAAAGGCTAAACACAGTCACCCTTTCCAAATGCATGTCAGAGCACAGCCTAAAATTGCTTTGGTGGCTGAGCCTCTGCAGTGGCCTGACCTTTCACTCTCCACCATCAGAGACTACAGCAGCTCGGCTGCTCTGGCATTATTTGTGTGCCATTTTGGTTACAGCTTGTCAGTCTCAGCATCATGTGGTTAGAAATGAGGATTTTGTTTGATAACCAAGCCTTGATTTATCAAACATAATCCTGTTCATCCCAGAGAGAGGAGTCCCTAAAATAATACAGGTAGCTGTTGACACAGAAGGCGTGGGAATATCTTCTGTCTCTTCCCGGATAAAAGAGGAAAGGTTGCAGCATGAAAATCCTTGGAGAGGAGAATTTCACTTGGATAAAAAGAGATTGCATCCTTAGGGACATAAAGGAAGACTCAACAATTCTCATCAAGAGAAAAATAAGGTTAGAACTACATTTATTTCCAGGTCTATGCTTCCATCATGTATTTAGCCCACCCGAGATCTTACCAGATAGCTCTGTGGGATGCAGCCAGAATGGACACTAGGAGAAAGAGGGAAAGAAAAGCTAAAATAAAAGGTGCCTAAAAATCCTAAAGAAGCAAAAATCACCCAAACTGTTTGCACAAGATGAAATAAAGACGGAAGCAAATTCAAACACTGAAGACTGCCATCAGACAATATCCTGAGGAAGACTAGAAATGTTGAATGGAAGCACTGGAAGCCCTAAGGCACATACAGCTGCTGCAAGCACTCAGACCTCCTGCCCATGTGTATTTTGGATTCAGCACATGAAATCCAGCCTCAGCCTGCTGAGAGCTTCTCACCTGTACAGTCACAAGGCAATGGTTTTATCCACAAAACAGATGCATATAAAGCATTTCTGGATGCTACATTGGCTCTGCCAGAAGGAAACCTAGTATTTTTTACAGGTAGGTTATAGCCCAGAGCAGTAGCTTAGTCACCACCTAACTGTCAGCCACAGATATATACAGTTATGCATGCCTTCTGTGTTTAGGGTACATCTTGAAATGAATTCCTTTGGTCTCAGCTTCACTAAAGGGAAGTTTCCAAGTGACCTGGATGACCTGAAATCAATAGCAATAGAGCTCCAAAATGTCATCATTGGATCCTCACTGCATCACAACAGCCAGACACAAAGGAGTCCCTGTGTGTACAGATATTCATCAAATAAAGGCTGTAGGAAAAATGTTGAGAGATTCTTTGCATAAATTATTTAGTGATTGTTATTCAGCCTTCTCCATTTACACGTAAGTGACTGTATCCAACTGGGTAAAGAACCATCTTCATAACCTGTCTTGTACTATAAAGCATCTCTGATACTTTCACAGAGACATTTGTACTGCATTTAGGATAGCAGAAGTACTCAACCCCATGTCAGAAAGCTTTTGCTTCCACATGAATATTTGTTTTGCTTGTTTACAGTGGTTGAATTGATGAATGTACCATGTTCTGGATCCTGGGTTTCTGACAAGCTGTCTCCTGTTCTACAGCAGCATTTAAGACCCCGCATATTAACAGAGGATCATTGTGCCAGGCTAAGCCATAGCTGGAGGAACTAAACCTTCGATACTAAGCAAGTGTGAACAATGCTACGTTAGAGTCACACCTTGGATAGTACAACTGCAGCTGGCCATAACTCTGACTGTTTTTTTTTCCTTTTGGCTTTCCAAATGGTTCATGGTCTCAAACACAGGTAAGAAAGAAGGTCTTATTTTTTTAAAAGACACAGTATTTTAAAGGGTAAAGAATAATTATACCATCTTATAGAGGATGAACAAGCAGGGATTGTGTCCAAACCTCATAACAGACTTAAAGGGATGGCATAGGTTATCGAGGTGCTGCTGGCTGCTGGCAAAAGACAAAGACATTAGAAAGCTTAATGAAAACTGGGGAGCATACCAGGAAACAGAGATAGCATCCTTGGGTACACAACTTTGGAGAAGCAGAGACACCTTAACTTCTCAGTGCTTCAAAAGAAGTAGATGGAAAGGCATCCAAAGTTACATGCCAGGGTAACCATGCTGAAGATAAACTTTGAAACACTGCAGAATCTTTCAAAAACATTTAAGAGAACAACTCTGTTCCATATCAACCAGTATTTGTTCTTTCATCAGCCTGGGAACAAAAAAATACAGGCACTCACAGAGCAGAAATGTGCAGCCAGTTGAAATCACATGCCTCTAGGTCTCATTATAATAGTGCTGTAGTTATTTGTTAGCATGAAATGCTTCTCCACTGCAATAGGGGGCTTTACTGCAGTACCTAATTTAATCTTTCAATGAATATATTCCCTTGAATGCAGTGTATTTTGTTTGACAGTTCTTGAACGCTTGGATGAATCTAAACACTGAAGAAGTGGAGTACACACATTATTTTTCTGCAGATTCATTTAGGAATCCAAGCTAACAGCCAGATTATCGATAATGAGGTAAATAAAATACTTTTCTAAGGGTTGATGGGCATGTGAAGTCTGAGAAGGAAAATATGATATTTGCTACTCAGCTTCCCTCTGGGGTAGTATTTGAAAAGTACTCAGATGTCCCTTTAGGAAAGCCTATTTTTTCTCATGGTTACACTGAGGAAACTAATTGCAAGGAAGAAATATACAAGTGATACTGCTAACTTTCCTAACATATGTTTTGCAAAGGCACAGGCCTATTGTTACGCTTGAGTTTTGGCTGATAAGATGGCAAAAGCTTCCCAACCTCTTGGCTGCATTCCTACAAAAACAACAGCAGTTCTGCAGTATCTTGCAGATGCAACAATTGGAGACCAGCTCATCCAGATGTACCTAAATTAGCTTTACAGATTAGCTTAATAGCTCAGCTACTAGTGACAGCCTGGCCGTAGAAGCAAATCCCTCTTTATGAAAAAAGAATATCTTGTTGGTTTATGGCTCAACTTCTCCTGTTGGCAGAAGTTATTACTGGTCTATCCTTTCTATCCCAGTAGCTCATCGGAGCTCTGTGGGAATGGAAGCCTAAAGCATTACACCCCAGATGCAGAAAAAGATGGTCCCTTTCCCTGAAGACTTCTATTAAAAAAAAGAAAGTAGCAACTGTTTATCTGTCATTGCCTCAGTTAATAGAGATTGAAAATAATGGACTGAATTCACAAACCTTTCAAGATCAAAGCACACGTTAAGATAAGGGCAGGAGCAATTACTCTGAGCAATTCAATTGTGTTTGACAGTTACAGAATCTGAGAGACGGATAGCTCTTACAAGCGTGGCTGGGGCAGCATGGGGGTCTCAGGGGTGCAGACAGACAGGTAGCACCTCCCAAATATTGAAAGGTGAGAACAGGATCTAGAGTGGAACAAACTAATGCCTTACACAACTAACAATTGCATCCAACTGTGAATCTACAATTATTAATATCCAGAGAGCTGAGAATCTTTGAAGAGAGTCAATGAACACAGTAGCTCACCAAACCTGTTGCAGGTCCAAAGAGGCAGGTATAGCTGCTGTGCCATGTGAAGAGGCCAGACTTGCTCAGACCTGGCATGCCCTGTACAGTACCAGCAGTGTCTGGGTTTCCTGGACATTTTAACGTTTTTTCCACCTGGAAGTTTCCTCTGGTCAGAATTAGAGATTTTACATTTGTGCAATGGCTCAGACATTCCAGGCTAAGTTCATTGTACGTGCTGTGGGAAATAGGCAGCAAGCCTGAAGCTTCTGGCTCTTGTTGGGTTTACAGCACATGGAGAGATCAGCTGCACAATGGGCCTGCTGCAGGTGAGAGCTTTCCATACATGAGCAGCTCCATAGGTGAGGACATGAATCAAGCGAATGCATCTCTGTTCCTGCTAAAACCTTTGCACTCTGTAAGGTTTAAGGCCCAGTTAGGCTCCTCATTCCAGAATTAGCAAATTCCCTCTTCTCCCCATAGATTCCAATATATATTGATGCAGAACTCTCTTTGCCTGTGTCTCTCCCACTCTAATACTCTTTCACACCCACATTCATTGCAATGTAGTTCACATGCAGTCTTCTGCAAAGAGCATCCTTCGTTAAGCAGCAAAGCTCTGCTTTCCCCCATCCCCCTTTTATTCAATAGCCTTGTCAGGAGCGTTTGCACCTGTCCTCTCACACTCAGCTGCTCCCTATTTTTGCTGAAGATTTCTTCTTTTCAGTACAGGACACGAAAAGCAGAGGGTTTCATTGGCTGAGAGGAAAAAAATCTTCTCTAAAACAAAGCTACTAGCAGAGCAGATAGCAAAAGAGCGAGGGAAAGAGAAAGAGATACTGAGCCTGCAGGGAAAGCAGCTTAAAGGGAAGTGTAGGAGGAATACTGAATCTAGACTTGCAGCAGGTCTATTTTTCATAAAGATAATAATAAAGAATAATACGGTGTAATTAGGGCACAAAATAACACTAATTGTTGAGCACTTGTCTGCAGCTTTCACCAAGAGGGAAAGAAACAAGAGGGCTCAGCGGCTCCTGCTGGCATTGGCACTGAGATATGTTTTCCCAGACTCACCTGAAGAATCACTGCTGAAAGTTAGAAATGTAAATTAAACTTCAAGGCCTTTCTCTTTTTTATTCCATTAGTAATTCCACTGAGCCAGGTGTTTGAGGGCTGGTGTGAGTGTACTGACCAGCACAGCACCACAAAGTCGTACCTATTCCAGTCCTGAAAACCAAGAATGCACAATTTGTGTTGCTTCCAGAGCTAGACTGAATATTGGAAACTGGTATAATCTATTTCTTGTCTTCTGCACCCAGCCTGCAATGGGGAGACCCTTTGCCTTTCCATTGCTATGGGCTCTGCTCCTTGTATTATAACAAAACCACACTTACAACACTATAAATGTCTTCTGCAGCCAGCATGACACAAAAACAAATTCCCATGTTTAAAGAGAGGATTCAGTTTGTACACCTTCCTTACACTGAGGTGGGAAGGGAACTATTCCTGATTCAGAGCGGTTGGTGCTGGTTGAGTAGCTTTTCAGAGAGCCATATAATACAGACCTGCTCTGATCTCATTCAGGTACTGAACGACCAATTGTCACCAAATTGGATTTATTCCTCACAGTTTTTTATCCCCTGTTGAAAATTACTTTCCCTTTAATTTTCTACACAGTTTTCTTAAATAAGGACATCAGTTTCTCTGAAAGAAAATCTTTGATTCAAAGTTCACAGTGTTGGCTTCTAGCACAAATATAACTGTAGCTCTGCTCAGTAGAAAGTGATTATTTTCAGAGTCCTTTAACATATACGGCATTGAAAAAGGACATTTTCCCACAGTCCAAGAAACTGCCTCTCTGAAGCCATTGCTGGATAATCCCTTCCCTAGGGATGTGGCTGTAAAACTCATTCAACTTTAGGTAGTGATTTTCCAGAGATTTTAATAATTTTGTGGTTTTATGCTACAAAAGCACTGCAAAGTGCTTACAAATACGAGTTGCAACTGAAGAGGGAATAGTTTGGAGATAGGGTAGTGGAAGCCGGAAAACCTGCAGACAAGGAATGGAGGCAAACCAAAATAGCACAAACTCCCAGACGAAGTGTTGGAGGTGAGGAGACTGCCCTGGTCAGCAGTCCTGGAGCAGAGAGCCCTTTAAACAGGATAAAGATGAGGCTTTACTGTGAGATCTTCTCCTCCAGTCTGCAGTCTTAGTCCAGCTATACCAGCATTTGAAGGACTGAACCACACTTAATCCCCAGATAATCTATCTTCCCTGGCCTTTGACTGAAGGATACTGGTGGCGATACAGGTATGTGTTATCACACATATGTGTTGCTTCTTATCTGGGGAGCTGGAGCTTTGAATTGCTTAGAAGAAGTTACCATCTCCCTGGGGTGCTCTGACATTCCCACACATAGTCCTGTGGTACTTCAAAAGGCTGGTAATAAATAGGGTTTTAGTATCCAACACCTTATTCTTTGCCATTTGCCCTGAAAACACCTCACTGGCAAGTCAATACAATGTAAGTTATGAGGTTCAGAGAGAAATGAATAATTTTATGTGTAAGATAAGTTTAAAAGATTTTTGTCATTCTTTATCATCCAGCTAACCATCTGTCAAGACACTTATGCTGCTTTGCAGCTGCGATCCAGTCCACAAGAAAAGCTTCACCTTGAATACAGCTTTCACTGGGGAGGATGCTGCTTTGTGCCTCCCCTATTGGTAGATGCCCAAACTCCCTATGAGTGATTATATCACCTTCAAGCATTCTTCAAACCAAGAGTTTCTTGTGAGTCACCATTTAGTCAGGGGTCTCATCAACACTCACCCCACAGGGTAGCTGACTGAATCTGTCTATTTAATAACAGTGAACATAGTGATGGTCTTTGAATATGACTAGGCAGAATTATCTGCTAGCTAGAACATACTAATGAATGGTTTTTATTTAGTTGTAAGCACACATAAACTCATTGCAAAGTAAATGTATTTTTCCAGCTGGGGGAACAATATTTAAACCTCAGTGCATTCCTTTTTAATATGGAAAACTATTTGTGTAAGACAGCAATGATTCCTTAAGCAAGTTCAGAAATAGAATAATATATGGTTTTCATTATTAGGTTTTGACCATGATGAGATAGAACTATTTGGAGGTAGGTGTGTTTTGGATATGGCCTTGAGAGATATCCTGATGCAAGTCCATACTTTTGGCAGTTTAAGGAAGCTGAAGTGCTTAGAACTTCAAATGGTCATTACTAACAAAACCTACATAAATAATTAGGTAAACACTGTGCAATTATATTTACATAGAAGAGTAAGTGAAAAGTAATTTGAGTATTTGTTCTCAATGATGGTCTATCATGGCTTGCATTCATGCTTCCAGGAATCCACACAAAAGCACCAGATGAAAAGAAACAAAAAGTATGAAAGGTTTCTGGGTTAAGCAAATTGTTTGGTAATGACATCTTTCTTATCAGCCAGTTTGTTGCTGAAATCAAATTGTGGTCTATGTTTTGAGCAGTTTCAGATTTGACTGTACTTCCTGATCTAAATTCTGTAAATCAATGCAGTTACAAAATATCTCCATGTGTTCACATTTACCAACAGTGGCATGATCATTGTTTGCTGAATTTGAAAGTTTCATCCTCTAATCTGTCCTGTGTATGGGTCTGTGCTGCAAGAAACCCTGCCCAGGGGTTTTCAAAGAAAACAATCTTTCATTGTCATTTTGCAGACGATGAATGAAAGAAGAGATCGATGAAGTGCCTTCTAGTGAGAGCAAATCCTTTGCAGAGCCTCCACCGAACTTACGTTATTTGATTCCCTTCTCAGGCATGAGATGAGCCATGAGCTCATCCTGCTCCTGCACTGACATCACTGCAATAACCATAAATGGGACCATGGCAAAACTGCAAAGTTTTCATGCTTTAAAGACTGCCTGGAGGTGAATGCAGTGGCCTTACTTTGGTGCCCCCTCCTTCTTGTCCATTTTAGCAAGTGTGTAAGCGTTAATCAATTAATCATTTCTGAAGTTTAATCAAGGGCTGAAGTTGTAATCAATTGGCAACCCAATGGAACACAAGGATGTTTGCCTGCCTGCCTGCCCCTCCAAGCTTAATTAGCAATTAGCTCTGCTGAGTGACCCCCTGATCCAGCAGTTTAGCTGAAAGAAATGCATCCAAGTGGTAATTTCACCTTTTGCCTCCATTATTTGGTATTATTCTGTTTATTAAATTCCCAGCCTCTCCAGAGTATGCATAATGGGAAAATCTTCAGTCAAGCCTGCAATTACTGTAATGAGAAGATATAATGGAGTTATCATTAAAGAAGCTGAAATATTTTCTTATTATCTCTTCCCTTCTTTACTTATAAACATCTTTTTCTCCGTCCCCTTAAACTGCAAAGAGTTGACATTTCTAGTAGAACCCACCAAGAAGAATCTGTGGCAAAATGAGTTGCAGAAAGAACCACAATGAAGGGATCTCACACCAGTCTCTCAGGACTGGAGGTTTCCTGGAGTAACCCAGTTCCTCATAGTTTTGCAAAGGTAGATCTCAGATTCTGTATTTTACTGACAGGTTGTCAGATGATGCCATTCCTAGTGGAAAGCATGGGGCGTAGCTGCAAAATGTGTTGTTCTAGCATATTTAATTATTGCTTATTTATTTCATTAAACATCCTGTTTTCCCAGCTCTTTCCGAAGTACCTGTGTAGGCAGATAATAGACTGTCAGAAGCTGGAAGTGAATCACTGGAAGATCAGCCTTAATTTGAGATGAATAATCTAGAAAGGGCAAGGAAACACTGAACCTTTTCTAGAATGTGGAGAACACATTTTAGCACTGGATAAGGACTCTCATACTTGGGTAAGTAGTTGCAAAAGCTACTATAAACATAACAAAAGGAAAAAAAAAACCCTCCATTACGCCCAAAACATTGCTAGACCCTGCTGAACAGCCAATCTTATGATAGATGCTGAGTACTCGTTCCAAACATTGACATTAGTTAAAGAGGTTTAGCAACCACTTTGCTTACATCTTCACAAACTCAGACTACTTCTACAATTAAAAAAAATACAGCTTTAATAGTTGCCCAAACACAGATACTTGAATAACTGCTGAGTTAAACCCAAATTTCCTGCCAAAGGAAATCAGCTGACAGTCTCAGCAAGCTATTAACCCATCTGGGGTCTAGATCACTCCATTGTAGTTGAATTAGTGTTGTGGAACATATGTATAAGGTAGCAAAGATATCTTCCAAAGTGTCTCATCTCAGTTTCTAAATGTCAGCTGCAAGGACTATCTCCTCAAGGTCACGGATTTGAACTTCTCCCTCTCTATTCTAAAGAATGGAAGTAGAGGCCAAGATTGGTTATGCATTTAGGGCAACATGAGGACACAGGATGATCAGAGGGGTCTGAAGATTAATAGCAGTAATACCACAGTTGTATAAAACTGTCATAAGCAATATTCCCACTGGAGAAGTGGATAAAATACTGACTTTACACAGAGCAATAGTCCTGGGAGAAGGCCCCTAAATTATTCCTTGGGATATCTTGCTGTTACAGAGGCATGATGGATGTCCACACATTAGTGGTGCCATCTCAAGCCATCAGAAGTGTTGACATAGATGAAGCATTTTGATTAAGTGTTCCTGTTCAGCTTTATATATTAAAAACTGTATTGGGTGGAGAAGCAGGACTCTCACCTTTGCTCCATCTTTATTTGTATTC